AAAATGTAGCCATTTTGCATTTGACAGGGCTATTTTTTGTCTATATTTATTTTTTATACCATCTGCACTGCTAAGGGCTGCAACCCAAGTTTGTTGTTCTGTACTTGTACAACAACAACCAAGGTCTCTCTATCAAACCACAGCCTCCAAACTGATCATAATGTGTAATCAATGGCTCTCCAAAACATTTTTAACTGAATCTAAGATTGACCTTACACATTCTTTAAATAATATTGTATATGTGTACGTTTGTAAATATATACAGTAAACAACGCATACATTAACTTCTAGGTTCATTCATCGCTCCAGGATTTCTTTGTTGTTAATAAAACTGTAGAAACACCACGATGACCCCCCTCCATATCATGTCTGCTGTTTAGTAAAATCTCCCCTCAGACCCCCAATTGTGCACACCTTCCCGCCCACCAGGCGTTAAAGAAAAACATCATTCAAAGGAGTGCAGGCCTGCATACTGTAAGCAGGGGGTGAGCACAAACTGTCAGATTAAGAGGTCTGAGAGGATGATCCGGCCAACATTTAGTCGGATTTCCAGCAAATTACCTCCAAGATTGTTTGGGTCAACTTTTTTTGGCACCCTGGGGAGCTCGATACTTGTGACAACCGAACTAGACATGTGAGGAAAAACAAAAACAAGGCTGATCTGTTGGATTTTTGGATTTTCTTCAAGCAGCATCACTTAACTTCTCTGCATGTGGCCTCTGAGCGGTTAAGGTGGGGTTGGCCATTTTGCCACTGGAAAAGGAAGCTAAGCATTTAGGTGTCTTAACCATGGTCTAAAGTGCTAACAAGGGATTAGTGAGGTAAACGATGAAAGAGGTTTAGCACTCCATGCTTAGGGCCAGTGCTGCTGCAGTAATTACACATCAGTTGCAAGGTGCAGCAAGCAGTTGGAAGGGAGATCATAGTGATGTCAGGACAGGGAGGGCTTACCACAGGAGATAAGGCCAGCTAATGGAGATGAAATGAATCGGTATTTAAAAGGTCTTTTTTAGTTAAGGCAGTTAGCTGGCAGCAGACAGTTGGCTGGTACGAGAGAGGCAGTTCGGTTGGATGTGAAGGAGGGACAGTACACACTTTCCGTAAGCTGTCTGAAGATTGTTTTTTTTACTGTGAATTGAAATACAGTTTCAAGTTTCGCTCACTGGTTTGAGCTTCAGGTAAGTCCATTAAAACTTCCTCTTTTATAAAATGTAATTTGTTTTCTCTTCTACTGTTAGACCAAACATTTGTTTAGTTGTATTTGTTGTTTGTTTGTATTAAGCTGCATATACCTCATTTCTATTCATGTCTAGTTTATTTTATTAATTTGTAGTTTAGGAAAATGTTCTAATGACTTATTGTGTGTTAGGCAATTAAAGTAACGTTAAAAACCACCAGCAGAGCTCAATATACAATCACGCTTTTATAATATATAATGCAAAACTTTTAAACAGGAAATCTTGTCATGTGTGTTATACGCAGTAAACCTCATAAAAGGCTACAGATCCCTCGGCTTATGATTAAATTGAAGGCAAATGCGATTAAAGGAACAACCTTGAAATCTGGATAATTACCTTCATAATTAGCCCAGTTCTGCAATGAAATAAAAACAATGTTATGAAAAGTTTCCCAGAGGTTTTCAACTGTTAAAATGTAAGTTGATGTCATGCGTTACATTTCTATGTATTAGTTTGTATCCCTTTTCCCTCCAAAACTTAATGTTTTGGGGAGAAAAGGGATACACACTTTTTGGTTCATGTATTTTTATGACCCAAAAAGTGAATCTAAAATCAATATGACCTGCAGTTCTATTAATGATAGTCATAAAATCTAATCTGCTTCTTGTATAACTGGCAGAATAAACACGGTTTAGCATGTGTTTGTTGTGTGAGAGAGGATTAGGAAGGACTAGACAATACTTCTGTCTTGTCTGATATGACCTCCTCAAGGCTCCATCTAAGTCGTCAGCAATTTTTCCCTTTAATTCATTCTTGTAATGAGATTAACCAGGCAACAGCAAATCCAAGGAGTCCAATCCCCGGATTTGGCAGCTGTGTTGTGGCCATCGCTCGTAGAGGAAATATGACGAGAGTTTCTCGAGCTCACACCTTTGATGACAGATGCACTCAGTAAAAAAAAGAAGCATAAAGCCACTTGAAATGTCCTCGTAGGATTGAGATGCTGCCAAAGGGATTCTGAGTGAGGTCAGGTTTGGACATGCAGAGATACAGCTGCTAAGTCTCAGGCTACAACTTGACTTAAGAGACTTAAAAGAAAACCTAATCAAAGTTTTAGCTGTGATAGGACAGGTCTTATGAAGGGTTCTTCCAAATGACTCAAGTTCCCAGAATGCTAGACTCCGTTCTTGATGACTTCAAAGCGATCAACATTCAAACCTCTAAAAAGAAGAATACGTCCTGGACAGTGATAACATCACTCAGCCCTGTGCTGTAGGTACAGAGTCATAAAGGAATATCCAGAAAAACAAGAAACTCGTCAAATATTGTGACTGTTGTAAAACAAAAACATTTAAAGTTTTCAATTTAGACTTCAAACTAAGATGATATATGGAAATGACGTATCTCCGTTCTCAAGTATTAAAAACATCATCAGAAAATGTATCATACTTTCTGTTATTGGACGTTGATAGCTAATTTTTGTATGTATATAGAACATCTGTATTAAAAATATAACATATAAATCTTTTTTAAGGATAAATATAAATTAAATTATATACATACTACATCTTTATTAAATTAAATATTAACATTAATATTAATATAAATCTGAGTTAACTGTTCAACCGTTTTAGATGAAGTTTTCTTAAGTTGTGTATCTGTGTATATCTTGATGTTTCGCTGCAGTATCGCTTTAATTGTCAATGCAAGATTGTAAGTCAATATTTGGATAGTGAGCAAAAAGACTTAGCACAATTTATGTTGTTTCAGAGCAGCAGACCAGCAGACTGCTGTATTTGTAAAAGAGTCTTTGTGGATTGTGCGACACGTCATGAGGGGAGTTTTTCAAAGATTGCACAGTATTTGTTTTTGGGACACTGGGACCTCAGCTCTGTTTCTTGAAACCTGCTGATGCTAACACAGGCCCTGCAAAGTTTGTAGTTGTGTTTTTTCTTAACACAAGCACCATTATCAGAAGTTCAGAGATCAAATGAGTTCATATTTTCCCTTTTAATTTCATAATTTAATCATAAAGTTTCGTCATCAACTTTTTTCATCTGCTTGAACCACATCAGAAACAAAGTCAAATCCTCCTGTAGTGAACTTTATGCAGCACATGGCAGAAATTATTAAAGACTGTGTTACACTATAGACCTGAAGCCCAGGGCTCAGTGCCCACTTTGGAACTACAGAGACATAAATATTGAAGTTTTTTTCACTCATTTGCTAAAACTGATTTTTATGACTTTGGTAGATAAGTATGTGGAGGCAGGGTGCATGTGTTCGTGCCACATAGCTTCATATAAACCCACTGAATCCCCAGATTTATCCCCAAGGTGTTTTTAGGACATCCTGGGAGCTAATGGAGGCTAATAGGCTTAGCACTTAGGGTGTATTGTCCAGGATGCTTACAGGCAAGGTTTGCTGAGGGTAACACTCTAAACGTGCGGATTACCTCCAACACATCCCTTTAAAGTGCTGTATAGCCAGGATTTAGCTAATAGGATCCATGGGGTGGTGAGGGCCCAGAGAAGGCTGTGGGGGGGTTGGACGGGCTGGCAGGGCGCTCTGCAGGCAGGTCAGCAGATGTAGCTAGCAGACTGTTGCAGGACTAATAGGAGGATTACAGCCCTCAGATTAGATGGGCTTCAGAGGGAACTTGAGTGACTGCAGATAATGCACAAGGCCTCTGGGCAAATCTTATGGCAGTCTGGGGGAGGGAACGGCAGGAAAATATGCGGAGAAGAACATGTGCACGGTTTGCACAAAGTTATCAATAACAAAAAATGAGTATTATAAAGGAACATAATTTCTTAAGAATGATTTTGAACTGATGTAGCAAAGATTCAGTTTCAAGCATCTAGAAATCTGGAGCTGGATTTTTTATTTTCATTTTACAGTATCATATTTTCATATGGAATATCTGTCTGTAGAAAAGCTCATTTGGGGTGTCTAAGTAGATTGTTGTTGTGCACACAAGCTGCTGGCTTAGCAAAGAACAGATGGACATTTTTGTCTACAGTATGACTGCATGTTAGTTTACGTGATTGTGTAAGTGTTTGCTAAACTTAAAAGGACAAAATGAGTGAGTAAAGATATAAAAGGAAGAAAAAATCTCATAGAGAAGGACTTTTTCTACTGATCTGGGTATTTTAAACATGTTAGTTTTAAGGGTAGGATTTGGCATTAGGTGTTAAATTGAAGTTTAGGATTAGGGTACGGGGAGCGTTAGGTTTAAGGTAGGTTTAAGATTAATGCTTAATGCAATAGAGGTGAAAGGTGAGAGGTGAGGTTAAGGATCATAGGTGAGAGAATGAATTTGGCCAGATATAACATAAAATATCTGTTAAGCAATTTATTTAAATCCCTTAATTTATATAAATTATATTACCTAATTTTAACAAAGAAAATTACATTTTCACAGAAAATACTTGCTGTTTAATCAAGTCTGACGGGTTGTGTAAAATGTGTTTTGTTCTTGTCTATATATATATTTATATGTGTGATGATAAAGTATTTGCTAAAAATAGATAGACTGCCTCTTATATTGAGATTATGTTTTATTTTGAAGAGCAACACAAAGTTCAGTGAGCAGCTATAGCTCTTTTAAGTAAAGATATTTGCTGCCTCCTAGTGGTAGACATGAGAAGTTACAATATGTATATATCTGCCATTTGATCAAAGTTCAATTTTCTACCCTTCAAAGCCACAATATATCGTTCAAAATCATACTAACCAGTTCGTCAGTTTTCATGTGTTCCAGTGATTTCACCTTCCTTTTCCCTCTTCAGCATTCAGGTGGAGGTCAAAGTTGGGTTTGTCATGACCCCACGGGAGCAGCTGAGGAAGATGACAGCGCTAGGAGAGCAGGGGGCTTTAGATGAGAAGCACTGGTACCGTCTGGTTAACGGCATGTCTGCTGGAGGTGAGGACTGAACACACATAAGAGATAACATAAAGCATCGACAATTTGTTTTTTTCCCCGAGGAAAATATTAAAGCTAAAAATTATTAAGAGCATAAACGACAACAATGATTTGTAGAGAAAAAATGTAAGATTTTGCCTTAATGTGGGTCCTATCTGGAATCACAAACAGGTTAAACCAATTGTTTGACCTCGTGTCCCATATATTGATTCTTGTGAATCGTCTCCAGCTTCACAGTCAGTACATGTCTCAGTTAGTGAGGCTAAACTTACTTCCCAGTGACCTTTTGTGCTTTTCCCCCCCTTTGCCTGCAGAGCTGAGGCAGAGACAGGAGATGATTATGAGGAACCAGATGGCCATGGCCCCGCAGATCCTCGCTCAGGGGCAGCAAAGGTTGCAGGGTGTCCCTACACAGTTCGAACCTCGCTTCATGGAGAGGTATGTACCTGAATCACAGTTCAAATTAAGCTAAGGGGCAAAAGCAAAGAAGACGTGACTGCCAGAGACCTCCTTTTCTGTATGACTTAAATAGCACACCAAAATAAACTTAGCTATAATAGAAGTAACAGTTATTTCAGTTGTTAGAAGCTGATCATCTATCTACAAATGTTTCAATGCCTTGATAGATGATTTCTGTGCTTTTCTTTCTACAGGGAGCTGGTTCCCCAAAACGAAATGGTTGCTTCTGACACCAGACAGATGCACATGGGACCCCATCTGGGTCCACCTCTACCACCACATGCCAATGTCCTGCCTGGGAGAGCATTCCCAGGAGCAGGTGAGCATTGCTGAGAGCATGCCCATGCCTGAGAGAATTCCTTGTTCCACTTCAGGAATGTGAATGAGCTCTAACAGCTTGCCTCTCTCCTTTTCTCTTTCTCTCAGCTGGCTACGGGTTCCTGCCCTCAGAGCCCATGGAAACAGTAGCCCGGCGACAGGAGCTTATTCACAAGCAAAATATAGCCAGGTAGTTTGTGCCGAGATTTCACAGACAAGTCAACATTGCATGAAGCTAAAGACTTTTTGCACTTTCAGTTTTTTTTACTCTCTGCTGTAATAAAATCTTGGTTTAATATGTCATATGTGTGTGCGTGCTCCTGTTCAGAATGGAGATGAATGCCATCCTACATCAGAAGGAGCTGGAGAACGCTCATCAAAAGGGACTTATTGGAATTGATAACCCCATGGCATACTCCTCCAACCCCATGGCGTTTAGAAGTCGTCAGCGCCTGCCAGATGGCCATGATGTCTTCGTTCACCGTCCCACCCTCGATGAGCTGCACTCCAACAGCCTCCTCATGTCAGCTAGCCCTTACCCACCAATGAGCACACTCCACAGAGAGCGGGGCCGCAGGGCAGGCAGGAGGCCGACCGCTCACAAGACCTCAGAGAGCAACGTCGCCCACCTGAAATGCCAGACAGAAGACAAAAGTGTAGAGCAGAGCCCGGGGGCAACATCAGGGGAGGAGAAAGAGGCGGAAGCGAAGGGGGACATGGGAGAAGAGTGTGCGACAAGCAAGACGCATCATCAGGCCAAAATAGACTCTGAGCTCAGCACAGGAAGCAGGAAAAACTACAAAGAAGGGGAGCCCGGCCTGCGCAAAAACTGTCAAGATGGCTGCTCAGATGTGGCCAACAGCACCTCGAACGATAAAGACATTTCTAGCCAGTGTTCAGCTTTCCAGGACAAATTCATGTATCCCTCCTCTGGTGGAACGCTTACAGGAATGCCTTACATGTTCCCAGTCCCTGGAAATGGTTTTCTTCCACCTGGTAGGTCCCAAAGAAAGATTACACAGTATTCTTTTATGGAATTATTTGAATGTGTACAGCTTTAACACATTTTGAATGTGTTTTCAAGGTCCAGCCAATCTCTTTCTCAATGGTGACGAGGTGTCTGAGGACGTAAGAAAATGGACGGTGAATGATGTTTACAACTTCATCAACAGTATACCCACGTGTTCAGAATATGCACAGGTGTGTTTCGTACAGTTTTCTATAACCAAGATCTGATGTGTTTTGTTGTTGTTGTGGCTATAATGTAACATGATTTCATTTACAGACCTTCAAAGACCACATGATTGACGGGGAGACACTGCCCCTACTGTCAGAGGAGCATCTGCTGGACACACTGGGGCTCAAGCTGGGACCAGCTCTAAAGATCCGCTCACAGGTGGGGAGCCCCAACATTGACCGTGGCTTAAAAACGTACAATTAAGTAATGAAAGATGAAAATGTCAAGGCATGAAGAATGTTTATCTTCATTAGGAATGCCTGCGCTACTGTCTTATTAACTACCTCTATTCCTCCACAGGTTTCCAGACGCATGGGCAACATGTTGTACATGATGAACCTGCCGCTCGCCACCGCTGCACCGCTGCAGGCCCCTCCAGAGAAGCCCGGGGATCGTTCACCAGAGATCGGCTCCCCTGTCAACTGCAACAGTGAGGAGATGGTGGCGAGTCCACGAGACACTGATGTCCTCAAGTCCACAGAGAACCTTCAAGAGACAGACAACAACAACTCACCTCCATCTGCAAGCAGTGAGACAGTCTGATCAGAGCAAGAAATGAGGACAAACAAAAACATAACCAGGCCCAGTCTGCACCTACTGCATCAGTAGATGATATGTTTACATAATTATTGACTGATTTCAGATGCTTTTTATTATATGCTACCTGGTCTTTAAACGCTGAGGTTCACCCCATAGGCTCAGGTGTCAGCTAAATATTTTGTAATTAACATGTGTATGGACATTTATATTTTTTTAACAACCGTAGAGTTAAAGTTATCTTAAAATTAAATTTTTATTAATCTGGAAATATCTTACTATAGTTTTAAACAAACGTACTTCAATGCTGCTAGGTATCATTTCTACAGTAGGTCTGCATAAAGTTCATATAAATAACATGGAAATTGTTTTGTAATTGAAGGATTAAGATTTTTTTTATTTGGTTGGGATACCTTTATGCTTTTGTTGGATTGTAAATAAAGTTTTTTTCTACAAATGAACCTGCTACACTGTTCCTGTTGATCACTATAGCCCCCTTCTCAGGGGGCAAAGATGGGGCAAAGATTTTAGGACAAAGATGTGATGATCAATAATCCCACATTTCAAGAAAAACATAAATAAAACCCTTAAAACTGACCAAAAACATTACAAAACTTTTGTTCCACTGTAGACTACTAGGTGTATACAGTTCTTCTAACTGACAAGCTAGCAAGATCCTTCACTGCTGTATTGTAGAAATGGGCTCTAAGTGCTGCAACCAAAGTAAAAAAAAGTTCATACCGTATGAAAAGTCAAAGGAGCCTATACATGATATAGAAATGGCACTGAATAATGTATCCTGTAGTATAGGTTTACTATTAAATAGTATTTTAATGTATCAAAAGGCCTATGGACTAAGCATATTTCAATTTAATGCAATTTTTAATTTCAAGGCAAGGCAAGGCAAGTTTATTTATATAGCACATTTCAACAACAAGGCAATTCAAAGTGCTTCACACAAGACATCAAAAGCATCATGACAGAGGAAAGAAAAGAAACATTAAAATAGAACATAAAAAAAACAAAAAAAATCACTGGAATTATTAAATCTGAACATATATTCAAATACAAATAATTCAAATGAAATTAATTGAAATTAATTAAGTAAAAATATAAAAAGAGTTAAAAGTTACAGTGCAGAGTTAAAATTTAAAATCTTATTAAAATTGTTGAATGAAAGGCAGCTGTAAACAGGTGTGTCTTCAACCTCGATTTAAAAGAGCTGAGAGTTTCAAGTCCCCTTTATTTAAACAGCTCGCTTCATGCTAAATGTTGGTGAGTAACAAACAAAGGCAGAGTAAGAGTTTAGTTTTTACCACATGATTGATATTTAAAAGTACAAAGTCTGATATTCATGAAAGTAAAAGCCTACATCAAGCTGTCAGCTACTTGAGTAAGAACATTGGACGAAACGTATTTTCTCATAATATACACATAAATAGATGTTTAGATGTTATTTAAATAAATTGTACAACTTATTAGTGAGTCTCGCGATAGTACACACTCTGTGCGCGCGCTCGCTCAGCCTCGCGAACGTTGGCCGAGCTGAGTTGGAGGATCATGGCGGAGCGCAGGAGGCACAAGAAACGGATCCAGGTAACACCGCTTTGATTCACAGAAAAACTGCCCGAGCAGGTTGGAGAATAACACTTTAAACTGTGTCGCTGTTAACCGACATGTTGCGGAGTGTTTTGTGGAGGAGAGCATCCTCGCGTGGAGCCCGGAACACACAATAGATTAAACCATATGATGGCTAACGATTAGCTAGCAAATGGTTGCTAGCAGAAACAAATGTTAGTAATTATACTTTGATAAACATTCCCCGAGCTTATTATCATCTCTACCCGCTACGGTTATTTGCTGCACTACATGTTAAACCGATGTTTAATTTGTCTGCCAATACGTTTCCTCTGTAGGAAGTGATGTTCATGATGTTTGAAGTGGCTGCAAAGCTGCGTCAGCACCAAATGAGACATGTTTACATAACGTGAAGCGATCAGTGTGACATGAAACACACGAGTCAACTGAGCGCATCGTTAGTGTTTCTTGACTTGTCCGTTCAGGTTCAGGTAGACATTGTTGCTCCAGGAGTAAAAGCTGTGAACAAGAAAATGATCTCGATTAAAGCAACAGCTTGGAAGAGTTGCTACAGTCTCAGTAAACTCAAAAGTGTGTTCACATCGCTGAACCTTTCTGCAACATAACAGCAAGACAATGATGATCAAAATGATTCAACTCCTCTGTGAAGAGAAGAAATGATCTGTCTCCCACTCAGCTGTCAATTGATGCATGTGCACTGATCCAGTAATTCAATATTGATTGAGTCTGATTGAGACTATTTTTCATGCAGTCTATCCCCGAATGTAGTGCTTCAGGCAATCCTTGTAGGAGGATTTGAGTTTATTGTGTAATTAAACTCAAAATAGGCTAAAACAAATTACTGAATTGAAAAATGACAGTATTTTTTTTTTTAGCAGTATTATAGGATAATACTTTATTGATCCCCAGAGGGGAAATTCGGGCGTTACAGCAGCACAGACAAGAAAGCTCAAAAATACACATTAAACAGAATAGATAAGATAAATAAAAATAAAAATAAAAATAAAAATAAAAACAGGGGGTATATACAGTACAAAAATGAATGATGAAGTTAACTGGGGGAATTGAGACCAGTATTTGCAGAGAATGACAAGATAAAGTGACAAGTGATTAAAGTGACTTGGTATGATAAAATAGCAGCAAGTAATGTAAACAGCAGAGAAGAGAGGCAGTGTTGTACCACATTAATGCAGATTATGTATATTTCCTGTTTGTAAAATGTTAAAGTTGGTTGTATACTAGTCTCTAGATGTGCTCTGGTTAATTACCATTGTACTAACTTGGTAGATTGACTGTAACATTTTCAGTCATTATGTACTTTGGGATGTATACTAGAATCATACAGCAGTGAGATGAGATAAACTCTTCATACTCCGTCTGTTGTTATTGTAGATCACTGAGAGTCCTGAATTGTCTGTTACAGGGCATCAGGATGACATAACAATCTGTTCAGCTGCATAATAACACACATTGAATGAAACATCAGAGGCCTACCAATAACATCTCTCTGCCTTCCACAACCATCATATATCCCCCTTTTTTCTGCCTAGGTTAGCCTTAAATACATATAATAGTATTCAATAGCTGAAATTAATGTGTAACCAAAAATACAACAAAGTCAGCTTTGATAAAATAAATCCTACCTCTGTGAAAGTTAAAATGTTCAGTTTATGTCCATATGTGTGACATTGCTGACCAAATGTTTGTCCCCTGTTGCATTATACATTAGATTTCATCACCGAGGTAAGCAAACAATAACTAAACAGTTCAAACAAAAAACTGAAACAGTATATCATTTGATGTCAGATTTATCGTGTTGTGTTAAGTACGCTAGAGTTTTTTCTAGGTGCGCGTTACAAACTGGAAATTGTCCCCAGTTCTGTTGCCTGTTTGAAGTCAGTTGCATAACGGCACATACTGTTATCTCCTTTATTAGCAGACCACAACCAAAAGAGGCCTGTCTGTTACACTGCACATTAAACACACAGTCAATCGTGCAGCAACTGAACAGCAAAGATTTGCTTTTGTTGAAACAGTTTTTAGAGATTTGATCTACCCCTATAAACACCTCTGTAAAACACCATTCAGTTTAAAAGCCTGATGTGCATACCGTTATCTGCTTTATAAGTTAACCAAAACTCAACAGGCTTCCCTTGATTACCACTGTGCTTTTCACAACACTTATATCTTTTTAATTTAAATGATTTTCTTTTCTCATCGTTCGTATCCCATTTCCCCAATAAGCATTAAGGCATTTGAGAATGGGCTACATTGAGGGCCAAAACTGTAACCTTAACATAAATTGTAAGGGACCACACTCTGTTTCAGAGAGCAGCTAATCCTCCCGTGATAAAGCCAGGTAGATCATATAGACTGTGACGGGGATCTTTTTCATGTAGGGGTCTCATGAAACTGAGCTGTGTGCATGCCTGATACCTGCTTCTTTAAACAAAGGCCTGTTTGATGGCCTCTTCTTCCTCATGTTGCAGGCCCGAGCCAGCTGGATTGGTTTAAGCAGCACTGAATCTCATTGTGCTGATGCTTTCATTCCCTCTGTTTTGGCATGTGCTTCAGTGCTGCTGGCAGGATGAAAAACAGTGCAGATGTTGTGAAAGTGAAGGAATTGTTTTCGAGGAAGAAGATATAGCCTCTCTCTGGTATTGTTCCAGAAGAACATCTAGTGTATAAAACAAAACTGAAGGTAGACAGACAGTGCATCCGCTTCTAGAGGTGGAGACACAGTCTACAGATCAAAAGCATACACTGTATGGCACCAAGATGTCTCACGTTGTTTTCAGAATAACTGCAGTTCTGAGTTTGCCGTTTAGACTGTTATCATCTCAGTTTGTGGAGACAGGCATTAACTTTGACAAGAGCTAGGATACAAAAGAGACCAAAGTTAGTGACTCAAATGAGCTGATGTGGGGCTTACCATACAGTTAGGAGCCATGCTCTTAATCATTGCACAATTTATATATATTTTTTGTGTGTGTTGTTGTGTTTTCAAATAAAGACATACACACACACATACTGGGATGCATGATAATGTGTCATCTCAATTGTATGCTGGGATGATTATTCAATGCTGAGTCAGAGTAAGCCCACATGATATTGCGATACACGTTCAGCAAAATGTCCATAACCCTGGCTTATTATGTATGATTTAATATCTGATGTGCTTGCCCTGATCGATTTGTAATTTATATGTTTTGATCCTTGACTTATGAACCTGACTTTGAGCCGATCGTGTGCGTTTGTCTGACCTTACAGGAGGTGAGTGAACCCACCAAGGAGGAGAAGGCGGTGGCCAAGTACCTTAGATTCAACTGCCCCACCAAATCCACCAACATGATGGGTCACAGAGTGGACTACTTTATCGGTACGTGCTCGGACCATTAAAGGAAACAGGAAAAACAAGTGGACAGTGGGTTGAGTGTGAACCAGGTTATGACTGTCAAAGTCAGCCTTCAGTTTGTTAAACAGACACTTGTTTTAGAGTGGAGGTATGACTGCTGCTGAGACTTTGTTTGTGTGTGATTTTCACATGTGAAGAGTTGTCCCTTTCTGAATGTTTTCATTGCAGTCCAAAATACAGACCTGATCATCCAACTTAAGATTTGTTAATGTGTTGTCCTGTTGAATCCATTCATCATTAATGTTGAGGCTAGAATCACATGACCTGACTGTATTATTACAGCTTCATTTGTTCTCAGTTACAATGGCTAGTTCATGTTCTTTTAACAATTTGTGATCAATATTTTCATAATGATTATGTACCAAGAGGTGATGGAACAGATCACAGTTAATCCGTGATCTGTTCGGATCACCCCTCACAAAATGAACGCTGTGTGTATGTTACATGTTCAACATTGTCAATATACAAGATGAAAAAAAACACTGATTTTTTTTAAAGCACTTTATTAATAAAAGGAAGGTCAGGTTTATCCAACTGCTTGTACAAGTATTATTATTGGAATTGTAGTAATGTACACATAGTGAAGGAAGATAAGGATGTGATACATTATCAAGTCTAGTCAGGTTTATTTATATGGAACAAAGAATAAATAATAACCTTTGTCTGTGTCTGCCTGGTGCTGAAATGAGAACATCTTTGTTTATAAATCCACTATACCAACATGACAGGTGGTAATGCTTTAATGTCACGGCTGTGTTCAGAGCTTGTTTTTTACATAATGAAATTTAAAAGGAGGAATTTCTTTGTACTTGTCAGCTTCTACTCTTCTAATAAAACTGTAATCACTGTTTACCAGAAGAATCACTGTTTGACATTTTCAGGCCCACTTCACCCTCAGTGTTCTTTAATGTCTACCTTTGTGTCCCTATATTTAGCCTCCAAGGCAGTGGACTGTCTGCTGGACTCAAAGTGGGCCAAGGCGAAGAAGGGAGAGGAGGCAGTGTTCACCACCAGAGAGTCTGTGATGGATTACTGCAACAGGTGAGCTGTGTACACTCTGCTGCACATTTTCTAATGTGGATCTAACGGCATTTGGTAAATGAAGGATTTTATTTTAAAACACAAAGAGAATGTCAGCATTTAAACTCAGCACTTCAAAACAGTCAATCATTCACTGAAGCTGTTATTTACTTCTGCAACAAACCTACTTATGTATTTAAAAAACAAATGGCTGTTAAAATGTCTTTCCAAGCTAATACCTTCATTTTGCATGATGTTCAGTTTACTGTGAAAAGATGGAGAAACCCTGCATTAAGCTTTGTCTGATGCAGAAACACTCCATCGTCTGCGTCTTTGAAACACTAAAGTTGAAAGTGAAGGGTGAATGAACGTGATTTCAGTCCTGCAGAGTAAGTAACTGCATAAGCTAACAAATGCAAGGCTGACATCATTACATTTTAGGATAAAATCTTTCACACAGCCATGGCTATCAGACAATGGCCCCTTACACAATAAAACCATTTAAACTAAATTTGTGTTTTTTTAAAATCCTTTAGAATTGTTTTTCTCCTCCTTTCTCCGTAGACTTCTAAAGAAGCAGTTCTTCCACCGGGCTCTGAAGGTGATGAAGAAAAAACCTGAGAAGGACACCAAAAAAGAGAAAGAGAAGGACAAGGACAAGGAGAAAGAGAAGGAGAAAGAGAAGGAGAAGGAGAAAGAGAAGGCCAAGGGGGACAGCAGCAAAGAAGAGGAGAAAAAAGGGAAGAAGGAGAAAGAGAAGAAGAAAGAGTCTGAGGTCGCTGAAACCAAGAAGGAGAAGAGCGTAAGTCTCAGTACACTCTAGCCCTCAGATAATGGTAGACGATAGACAACTCTTTGACACTTTAATATTATTGTAGGTATACTACAAAACTTGTGTTTTGTGACTTTTGAAGCCAACGGTGATACATAAATGATAATTACATTATATTTAAAGCTGAAAAGGGCATGTGGTTGAGCATGTGCCACATATGCAGAGGCAAAAGTCTTTGCTGCAGTCCCGGGTTCGAACATTTGACGTATGTCGCCCAACTCTTCTGCCAGCATTTCCAAAAGTCACTTTTCTCTGTCCTCTCTGAATAAATGCAGAAATATCTTTAAAAAAAAAAAAAAAAGACCAGAAATTCTGCCTTAAACGTTTACTATAGAAAAGATTTAAGTTATTACAACTACTTACCGGTACATTGGTCTTATTGCAAAGAGTAAGATAAGCAAAAAAAAAAAGAGAAGAAAAAGAACTACATTTTTCCACCTTTTGACATACAATGTGTTAAATAATCCCTAGTTATTCACGCCCCTTTTTTGCTTTGTGCTCCAATAACAGTTTAACAAATAGCAGAAGAGACACTTGGGTCAGGTTCCATTCGCTGATTAGACTTCAGGGGCATCAGGTAACACAGCAGTGCAGGGCAAAGTTAACTGATTGTATTATCATTTTTGATTGTTACAAAAATATTCTGTGGCTCTGTTTTTGATGCATTTTTCAATCCCATACAGTAGTTCCTGCTGTCAGCTTCTTGAAATAGCCTGACATGTCTGAGTGTAATACACTGTGGCATCATGTTTAGCAGAATAGCTGTTGCAATGTGCTTCTTTGTCAAGCTTCTATGTCTCAATAACTGTTACTAAAGGGGGCGGGATTTAAGATTGGTGAGCTTTTGATGTGTGCAGACTAAGCGGCAACCTCTAGTCTTAGAAAATGAAGCCGATGCTGAAGTGCAAAATCCTGCAGTTCGTCGAGGATTTCTAGCATGGCGGCGGCTGCCAATGAACCTCCGGAGCCCCCTGCTGTAAAAAATGGCTGACATCACTCAGGCTTTGTCCATTAACATTTACAGTCTATGGTCACGACTTTATACAGAGACAAGTTAGCTGGCTCCTACCACACATACATGAGAGTTGTATCAGTCTTTTCAAAAAGAAAGCCTATGAAAAGAAGTAAGCCTATTTGATTATTTCCAACATTATTTGGATTAGGATGAAAGTCCTGGGACCCCTAAGAAGAAGAAAGAGGTGAAGAAGAAGTTTAAACTGGAGCCTCATGAGGAGCAGCTGTTTGTTGATGGAAATGAGGTGAGTTTGTGTGTAGAGGAAACATGTTGTAGTACAAATGTTTTAAAATCCTAAAACACATCAAAACACAAACTGTCTCTTTTTCTCCTACAGGTGTATGTGTGGATTTATGATCCTGTCCATTTCAAGACCTTTGCCATGGGACTCATACTGGGTGAGTCAGTTGGTGAAAAAACATGAATTGGAACAAGAAAATGAAGGGTTGTGTTCACTCGTACTGTTTTTGTGTTTTTTTTTCTTTTAGTTATTGCAGTAATCGCAGCCACGCTGTTCCCACTGTGGCCTGCAGAAATGCGTGTAGGAGTTTACTATCTAAGTGTAGCAGCCGGCTGCTTCGTGGCCAGTATACTGCTTCTGGCTGTTGGTGAGTACAAAGACCTTATAGAAATAGAAATAAAGAATAAAATAAATGAAGTTCCTGCACAGCATCTGCTGTCATTGAAATAAAATACATAGAAAATTTGGTGTGTAAAAAGCATTTTATACTGGTATATTGGTGTCATCAGTGTATAAGATGAAGTCAACTTTTAAGATGAAAAAAATGGTATTAAAGTGTGTTTTATACTCCGGACCTCACTGTAATTGAATTGGATTAATGATCATACTATAGGCTCAGTTAAAGCGTTAGAATAAGTTGTACGGTTGATTGGCCCAAGATTAACTAAATGAAGTCACATAAAATGCAGAGATTTAAATGGAAGACTCTTTTCAAAAACTGATCCCGCTCGTTTCCGTCTTTCCTCAGCCCGCTGCATCCTCTTCCTGATCATCTGGGTGGTGACAGGCGGGCGCCATCACTTCTGGTTCCTCCCCAACCTGACTGCAGACGTGGGCTTTATCGACTCATTCAGGCCGCTCTACACTCACGAGTACAAAGGACCGCAAGCCAGCAGCAAGAAGGGCTCAGACAAGACGGACGACAAGGACAACGGAGAATCCACCAAGGCTCAGAAGTCAGACAGCGACGAAAAGTCCGACAGCGAGAAGAAGGACGGGGATGACGAGGAGGAGGAAGAAGAGGAGGAGAGTAAAGATGTGGCGGCAGAAGAGAGTAAAGAAGCAGAGGGTGAGGGGACGGATCGACACTCGGACTCAGACAGCGACCGGCGGGAGGATGAAGGCTCGCAGCACAGCAACGGAAACGACTTTGAGATGATCACCAGGGAGGAGCTGGAGCAGCACACGGAAGAGGAGGAGGAAGAGGAGGAGGAGGAGGAGGAGGAGGAGGAGACGGAGACGCAAGAGAGGGAAGAAGGGAATGTGAGTGAGACTAGAGCCCAGGCGGCTGAAACATAAACTTCTTACAATCCCATCACTCTTTACTTTCCTCTCTCTGTCCCTCCCTCCTTCCTCTGTGATCCCAGGACCTGCCTGTCGCGTCTCCTCGTGCGGAGACGCTCCATCTCTTGTTGTTGAGATCTTCCACTGACACAGTACCCACAGATCAGGACCGGAGAAAGCAAGCAGCTCCGACAATGAGGAAAACAAATTGTACGATAAGGAAGCCTTATGTGGAGCCGATTCCTCTCAGCTCGCTGTGATTTACGTCAAAATGAAAACCTGCCTGAGGAAGCTGTCCAGAGCTCCACAGCTTTTTGTCATTTCAACCCAAAATGTTTTATTTATGTCCGCCCAGTTACTTTTGTATGTGGTCAATACGAGATCTTATATACAGACAATGGAGAAAAGATTGTGCTGCTTTCTCCCCCCCCCCCCTTTCTTTTTTCATTGTCGTCTTAGAGCTCACTGTTGTTGGTACAATCAGTATCTCTGGAGAAAGGCCCCGTTCATTCACCTTGTTGTTCTGTTGCAGGAGCACCAATGAGTCTGATAGCTTTCTCAGGCAGACAGCGAAGCAAGTGACAAGCGTTAGAGCCAGATGGACCAAATCCTGGAATTACTCAAAGGAAACAAAAAAAAAAAAAACACATATTTTGGCTGGCTAGGGGGGTTTTGGCTCTTTGAGGTACTGAGAAAAAAAAAATCATGTTTTTCTGAAAGGACTGGTGTTCATAGTGCAATCCTCTCACAGTCTAGTTCATTTTTAATGTGGAACTCATCTGTAAGAGTAAACTGGGACACAGCTGGCGAACGTAATTTTCTTTTTTAGAAAAAGATTTCAGCATTTGTTGTACAACTAAATCTAGAAGATATTTAAGCCTATTTGCAAACAGGAACCAAGACATCAATGAAACGTTTAGTGCCAAACACATCTAATACTGATGTTAAGCATGCTGATTTAAAACAGAGTGCGAGAGCAAGCTACCATGTTAAAGTTACATGTCTTTACTTAGTTTCATTTTGTAACTGCAATGTGATACCTCCTCAGATCTACGATGTTTGGAAAAATAAAGGTTAAAAAGAAAAAGCACCGGCTGTTAGGTTTAATCTATGACAAAGATTTTTTTGGTCTCAATGAAACCGTTTAAAAGGTGTTTGCTCTCCAAGTCATCCAAACCGGATTTGTGTGGTCGTGAGGAAATTGCGACGTTTCATGAATCTAGTTCCACTGAGCAGGAACGCTTAGTCGATTAATCAATGACTTCAAATATTAACGGCTTGGTTGAAGTATTAAATCCTTTATTGATTTATCAAACATTTGCTCATTTCAGCTTCTCTAATGATCTGCTGCCTTGGTCATGTTTGGTTTATGAGTCACAGGGTTTTTGACTGACACAAAAAAAAAAGGTTATATGAAGACTCTCAAATTGTGAGGATGTAATTAAAAGTCAAACCAATGACGTCAAAATGGTCCGCTGACTTATCCGGGTCTGAATAATCCGAAGTTGCAGTGACATTTCCAGTGGAAGCCTGTGGTCCAAGCTGCTCCGTCACATCCACTGCAGCCTAGAACCGTCTTAGACGCTCTTTGTAGTCATAGCGAGGATTATATTTAAGTATAAAAAAATAGAAATGTATCATTTATATATGGATTCTATCGATATATATCAAAGATATACTTGCAGTCTAAAAAAAAAATTATAAAAACCTTTTTTCAGCTTTTTCTCTTTTTGTATTAGGAGGTGTTGGAGTGTTTGTAACGCTCCTCTTTGTTTTTGTTTTATACGACCATCAAAAGAAATGTACTCGTTATTTAAAGGCAACTTCTGGGGTTAGAAAGCGGTGGATTTATTAACAGTTTTTCTTTATTTTGTTTGTACATTTGCCACCTTAACATTGAATGTGTGGTGTAGTGGGGTTGTCTGTATTTCTCTCACTACAAACAAAGCGTCATTAACAGCAACCCAAATGGTTTCCTAAAGAATCCGACAATACCTGAGTATATTTCACACAGCCCTATACAGATGCTTACCAAGTGAACTCGCCGCACTAAATCTACTAGTTTGTTCTAACGTAACCCTGCTGAGGCTCGTAGCTCTCCGGCTCTCTGAGACTCACAACCCCTCGTTTTTCTTTCTAACATCTCTTGTCGTGTTTCGTTTTTTCCTCCCCAAATTGGGCAAAGTGCATCTATCCCTACATCCTGCCAGCCACTGTACTCCCAGAGTTTGGCATTACACAAAAGAGAGAGAGAAAAAAAAAAAAGAAATACTTCTCCCAGTTGTTCTTGACTGTTGCACAGTATCGGTCTGTTGTATATTGTAGTATTATTCTGACTCTTTACGCTGCTGCTTCTCATCGCACATTTCTGGGGAAAATCAAAAGTGAAATAGTTCAAACATCTGTGTTTTATCTCTGGTCAAGAAAAAAAAAGAAATGTCATTCTGAAGACTGTCACATGCAATATTGGAGTATAATTTAATGAAACTGGATGTCTGGATATATATCTGTATCTTATCATTGCAATAAAAATATAGAAAGCATCAAAGTGTTTCCTTTTTTTTAATCACGCTAGAACTCGACGTATGCCTACAATAAATAAAATAAGACCACTTATCCACTCCTGACAACTGAACACTTGATGTCAATGTGTTTCATAAAAGGTGATGCTGAGAGAATATGAAATAATCCGATCATAGTTCTGTCCAAAATTTGATCGTTTACTTGAGTTTATTTATGATCATGAAAAATGACATGGCCTGTGGAAGTCTTTCTTTTCGTTTCACATCATGCAATCTGACTGGAAGCAATAAATCAGACTTTTATGAAAACTACTTCAAATTAAATAAAATCAAATCCTTCACAGCTACTGGTATGATCCACAGAAAGTCTCTTCACTCTGGATGTTTGAACAGAACAGTCACAAGAGTCTTTGGCTAACCCAGTAATGAAAAACAGTTAACGTTTTTTTTTAAGCTGACATATTGTAAATATATAAATATCACATAAATATGACGTTAAATAAATCGATCCTAGCATCTGATATGTACACAGTAGATTTACAGACATTTCATGTTTCTACATCTAATCTGAGAGAAGAGCTTAAAGCTTTCACACTGATCATCACAAAGATGATTAAGTGCTTCAAGCCCCCCCCCAAAAAAAACTTCATTCATTGAAAATATTTTTGTTAAAATAATTTAAGTAACTGCAGTTTTTTTTTCTAGGTGAGAAACATGCTCTCTCCCTGTAAGCGACGTGTGTGTGTAATGGAATGTAATGGCATGCGTACTCTGATTGAAACATAACTGCGAGCACAGCATACTGTACTCTCCATACATGCTATCTAAATTACAAACTTAACGCTGATGTAACTAGTTGTGTCGTTAAATTAACTGAACGATGACTTGGTGCTGTGGATGTCTTTAAAGTAACGTCTTTCACAGGTGTAAAAAAAAAAAAAAGAAGTCCCCGCTGGTTCAGTTTTCTGTGTCCGATGAGTCGGAGACGTCGGCCAGTCTCGCCTGCCTCTTGCGTACGTTCCAGTGCAAACACTGAGCCAGGCTCTCGAACCAGTCGTACACCAGGTCATGGCAACAGATGGAGGGCACCGGGTAACAAGACGTGGTGATCTTTATACTGTTGAGAAGAAAGAATTCAAGACAACCAGTTCTTTAACTGAGAGAAAAAAGAAATCAGTCGAAGACCAACGGCTGAGAATGATCTTTACCAGTCTCCGTGTTGAATCTCCTGTCTCTTTCTGCCGTCAAACGACACCCAGGCGGTGTTTCTGGCGTCAGGGGACAACGTGATCTGTTTCAGGGAGAAGAACCTTATGATAATTCAGCCCGTATCATGAGAAACATGCTTCACTATCTTGAGATAACAAATAGACATCTAGTGTTCTTGAGGTAGTTTATGGAAATTAAAAAACTATTAATATGTTATATTTAATCGTCTGTAGAAAAGTCAGATGAATATCTAAACCATTAGTATTTATTATAAAGGCACCACAGGGATTTTCATGGAATTCATTCATCCAATAGAAAGTGGTGGCTGATGCCTCCCTAAATCCGTGCGGCTAGTGTGTTTAAAAAAGTGACCGTGTAAATATACATGATAGAAAATGTACGTGAGCGATTAGGTCATGTGTCGCTCCTCAGCTCAGGAACACAATGATACCATCAGTGTGAGAGTGATGGCCTTGAGCACGACTGTACCTCAAAAGAGTAAACACACGTGCTGCTGGGAGTCCGTCAAACATTAACGCATGGAAACTTCATGACACAGCCATGACATAACAGACAGGGAGACTTTTAACTGGGAGGAACTTATAAGGATTTCATTTAGGACTGTGCAACAGTTGATATCAGAGAAGGAGAAATAAAAACAGCGCAAATAAATCTCTACGATTCTTTACAAGACAAACCTGAATAAAACAATAGAGTGACAGAAAACACTCAAAAAGAGTTTCCCCTCTCCTGTATCACTGTAGAATATCAAGGCTCTCAATCTCACCATGAGCTCCACCCCAGCAGGGACAACGATGGGCCTGAAGGAGAGCGAGTGTGGGCAGATGGGGGTAACCATGATGGCTGGTACATTAGGGTGGATCATGGAGGCTCCTGCTGCAGCGGCGTACGCCGTGCTGCCTGTAGGTGTGGACACGATCACACCTGCAGAACGGAGAGGGAGGACATTTATCATATTTAACATCTTGATTTACAAAGTCTGCGTTTATAAGTTTAAAGTTACTCCTTCACAAACAATATCTCCATATTGTTTGTGAAGACTGTCTTACCGTCTCCCTGCACAGAGGTGATAAGACGTCCATCCAGGTACAAGTCCACATTAGACAGGTAGGAGGAGGGACCTCGGTCCACCACCACCTCATTCAACACCTGTAACACACACACACACACACACACACACACACACACACACACACACACACACACACACACACACACACACACACACACACACACACACACACACACACACACACACACACACACACACACACACACACACACACACACACACACACACACACACACACACACACACACACACACACACACACACACACACACACACACACACACACACAATTATAGAGTACATCACTGCTTTTAAATTGCACAGTCTTTACAGTTTTTCATTATTGCTAAAACAATAAATCCCATTCTCTGAACCAGATGGTCCGTGGCTGAAAACCATTTATTGAAGCAAGAACACTTCTGACAAAGCCTTCAACAATTCCATGTTTTGGATGAGTAGAGAGCATTTCCAAGAGCAGACAGCACTCTTTTCCAAATGTATGATATTCCCCATATTTTTACCGCCCACAGATCATGTCTGGTTCCCACATCCTCTTTTCTCCATGTCTGCTGCAGTAACAACTATCTCAAATAAACAACATGCAGTAAAAAGCGACGCAGCAGTGTCAGTCACTCAGTGCCGTTGTCAACAGACTGTTGTCATAGAGACAGGATGGATGTGCAGTGCTTTTCTTCTGTGCACTAACGGTTCCATGCAAGCATTTTCATTTTAAAATAATTTTTAAAAATCTTTAGCAGTCCCTGATAACTGTGTTTTCTGTTGATATGTGTGTATGATGTGAAAACAGTGTTTGATGCTGAGCACAGGTACATTAACTGTTTTGATGTGTTGTTTGATTTTGCCAGTAAAATCTGATGATGTGAATTTATTGAGTTTACAGTTTATTGAAAAGGGAGGAAGGTTTCTTAGGTTTCTTAGTGTGTTAGCCATCATGAAAAACTGCAACATACGTATGTATTGAGATTTATTAATAGGGTAAACATTATTCCTTTAAAAAGACTCCAGGTCACTGATCTACATTTAAATTAACCATGTTACTGTAGTGCCACCTACAGGTGAAATACCATAACTGTTATGGCTCCCCCACAATTTCATTTATGAAGTTGCATTATTTTGCACTAATAGTGAACAACTCAGAGTGCACCGTCTGGATACTACAACGTAGTGTGAGGCACTTCAGGGAATTGTTTAAAATGTAAATTATTTAAAAAATAATAATAATCTGAAGCTAAATAAAATAAATGCAAAACAGCAAACACAGGGTATAAGAGCATAACACTCCAACATCACAGCAAGAAACTACATGCAGACAAAGAAAGACTGGCGTTCAGACAAAACTTCCACACCTGAGTCAAACACAGCGTGCTGCAGCAGCGAGAGATGACTGCCAGATGTACTGACGTCAGTTGAGCAGCAGAGGTGATGTCATGTGAGCTCAAATTCAGATTCACTGAGAGACCACAACAATCCCACTCTCAGCGATGACACTGTCTGTAAGTCTGTGTGTGTGTGTGTGTGTGTGTGTGTGTGTGTGTGTGTGTGTGTGTGTGTGTGTGTGTGTGTGTGCGCAGCAATGAGGCATGTTGTTTAGTTACACAGTGTTTCAGACCAAACGCAAAGCTCATTTAATAACCATTCAACATGTACAGCCCTGTTGACGCCACTGTTACCATAGTAACTAGGCTCTGGAAAAACTTTGAAAACATCTGACTTTTGTCGCCAATATATGCAAACTTATTATGACTGTCACCATGACAACCCAGCTGGCTCACTGAGCAACAAACACATGTATAGACATATGAACATGCCAAGGATGACACAATGGTACACACACACACACACGCACACAAGCACACACACACACACACACACACACAAGCACACACACACGCACACAGGCCTTTGACGTCCTTACAGGCTTATAGCATCATGTGAGGGGGGTGAACAGTAATTCATTAAGATAAATGCAATAATCACAGAAGTAAACTGGAAACTCAAAGTCCCCCTTTAAACACATTCCTGTTTGTGTTTCCACTGCTGCTGGAAACCATAAAGATTAGTCCAATAACTGATTAAGACACATGACGTCATTTGAGACACAATTTTCACACACGATGAACGACAACAAAGAAGTATCTTGAGGTTAATATTTAACCCTTGTGTTACTCTGAAATCTGACATTAACGAATAAAGCAGACATTGAAAAATGTACTTAAAGCTCTGTCTGTTTTAAAGTAGACAATCTGTTCAGGATTAAAGGTTATCTGTGTGTCTTTAGAACTTGATGGTGATGATAAAATCTGTTTTTAGGCTCTGTATATCTGGAACGAACTCCCAGAAAACTGCAGGTCTACTAAATCTCTGAGGTCTTTTAAATCAAGGCTGAAGACCCTCCTTTGTACAGCTGTTTGCTATTATATTATCTATGAAAGTAATCTATAATAGTTATAAACAATGATAATACAATGATCATTCGGTCACAGATCTGGAAAACCAGCCAAGAGTTTGCTTATTGACCAAGCCGTGACATCACATAACCATCATAAAGTGCTGCCTGGAAGCAGAGACCTTTCTGGTAACACGATGGAAAGACAGTTTAAGTCCACATGTTGCTATAACGGTTCGTGGCCCTCCTTGAAAAGTTTCTGCTTTAAGAAGACGCTGCATCTTTCCACGAATTTGTGTATACGTTCAACAGACCAAAATAAATGATCAGACACAGCACAGATGAGAAACTTGAATCTGTATTTAAGTAAATAAACAGCCAAATAGCCATTTAACTTCCTTATCATCACACCTCAAATAATTTAGACCCACATGGACCCTCCTTAGCTGAACTTCAGAGAACTGACTCACTTGCTGCCCTTTCCTTGTTCCTTTAAAGGTGCAGAGTAAAAGCACTGTTTGTTCCTACCTGTAGCTGCAGGGTGACCTTCCCGGCCTCATTGTTGGTGTGTCCATGAGGAAGGAGTCCATTGTGTTCCTGCTGTTGCTGGCCTGCTCTATGAAGCATGTCCTTCACCACCTTCACCTTCAGACGACTGCGCAGAGTGATGGCAGCGTTGCCTAAAAAAAAAAAAAAACACAGAAATATACGTGCAAATATAGGCAAACACGTGACTTTCATTTCTTTGACGACAAGTTAACATCAGAATAGTATTTCACTTGAAGCTCCAGTCTACCTTCAAACACTTTGGCCACTTCGGTCTTGTAGGACTCAAACTTGAAGGGGGTCAGGAAACCTAAAGAGCCGAGGTGAAACGCCATAACAGGAGGGACGCTGCCCTACAGGAAGGAAACAGTTCATATGTAAAACTCTTCAATTGACAGAACTATTCATTGCACAAACTAAGATAATCTCAAAACATCTGGTTAAAAAGCTATTTTGGTATACCTGATATACATTTATCAGAGCACTTATGAACAAATAAAGTGTCCCCTCAAATAATCAGCCTCAGCTCTTCATGTCATGTGACTGTCCTTAAAGGAACAATTTGTAACTCTGACACCTAGTGTTTAGAATGGGTACTGCAGTCCAAATTCAAAACATAAGAGAGAGCTGTCTCCCTCGCCCCCTCCTCTCTAGAGTCGATGTGCACACAGGTTGCCATGTCACGGACAATGAAGTGTTTAAGCAGCTCTACATCGGTCTTGAAACCTCTGATCTAACCTCTCTCCATTTTTCAAAAGCATCGCCAATATTTATCGTTTTACCGCGTTGCTGCTAGTGGAGCTTATTAGAAACATACAGAGGCTTTAACAATCGCCTACCTTCTCTGGTCAAAACAAATACAGACCATTCAGGACTTAAACCTATAGGAGGAGGTTATACTGGCTGCTGCATTGTTGACAGAGAGGCCAGCACTTCAACATAGCATGTTTCCTTACTGTGTGATTATACAGTAAGGTCATTTTATGATTTAATTCTGCAGATATCTTACATATTGCTCCTTTAAATGATGTTTCACAATCTGACTATTCAACACATGATGGCCAACTAGGTGTCACAATTTTCTGACATGAAAAGTCCTTTTTACTTGTTTTCAGTCATCACTGGTAAATCAAAGGTTTTTTTTTTTTTACTTCAGTGTCTTAAAAGAAAATCAGACAAAAAGCACAACACGGAAACATTTGCAAAGAGGAAATAGAATATAACTTCCTTGTAATAATATCATTTAAAATATTTGATTTAAAAGAATAAACACTGAGCCATCTTGCAGCATATCTTTTAAAGTAATTTCATTTAGTACAAGACGTCTGACTGCAGCTGATTCCGTCTGCAGTGATCAGTTGATACTAGTGCAATTACCTGGAACAGAGAGGAGGCGTAGAGTAGAGTCCCATCTCCCCCCAAACAGATGATCAGGTCTATGCAGTCAGAGATATCATCATAGCCTGCAGGCAAATAAACAACGCAATATATCCAATTCAACTAAGCCCAGTGCAATCTGATTTGAAACTGATGAATATCCAACAGAGCAGTGGCAACACAACACAACGAAGCAACGACCAAACAAAGCTGAACATTTTCTACAGCATTAATGTGACAGATATGTGATGTTTGCTCTCCAAGCGGCTCAGCTGATGTGACATATCTCCTGATGTGCAGAGGATTGCGGGTCAAAAAAGACAAACAAGCTTCCTGGCTTGTATATCAAGAGGTGAAGAGGGTGATTACATTAGGTATACTGTATTTTAATGATCTGGTATACATTTATTTTGTATAGTCTAACAAACAGCTCATAAGAATATTTAATGGAATGCAGCCCATACATTTCTGGACCATTATTCATGTTTGTTATTTATTACACCATGCACATGAGGTACATTACTTTATCGAGGTATTGTTTGTTTTACTTGAACTGGCGAGATATGACACCACAATAACAAAAACGAAACTGAGCACTGATATCTACATCATGTTTTGTTTAGCTGATCATTTAAAAAACATTTTTTGTCTGATTAGAGAAAAGCAAAACTTCTTCACAGTTGGTGAACTGAAAACATAAAAAGTTTGAATAAGTTTTATATAAACAGAATTATTTGTAAAGAAGCCTTGCGGGCCCAACACACGTTTTTTTAGTGAGTATGTAATTAAATAAAAAGAAGTTGTTCTTCTTGTGTGCCGAGAATCTGCTCATCTGCTGTCAAGATGATGTTTCCTGACATCACCTGCACCAAGACATGAGGACTGACAGTGCAGTGCACAGGGCATCCATGTTTGTATTATTATTAGTAAGTTAAGTTAAGCTCCTTCTTTTTTTTTTTTTTATTATAAATGATGTAAAGCTGTGAGCTATTGTTGTGTGTCTGCATCGTGTGGCAGGTGTTCAGACACTCAGGAGTCTCACCCTCTCTGAAGGTGCAGAGCTGATTGCGGATGGAGCCGAACGTCTCGTCCTTGGATAGCGTAGCGTCGTCTGCCACCCTTCGCTCCACGTACACCATCATCTGCTTCTCCTGATATACCAACACACACGCTTAAGTGACATAAGTACAAACACACAGGCACTTCCCAGTGTCCTCTTTCTGAAGTAAAGTAGAGCGATGCCATACATGTGTGATTACTGCATGAGACCGGCCAGCTACACTACACATCTGTCTCATTTTCTCTTATTTGTTTTTGGCGCCCTTCAGAGACACAAATGTTTCAGTCTGTTCTTTGACTTCAATGTTCGACAACATGCCTCAGTGAGACAAAACTCTCTTATGGAAATCATTTAAACTGGCGATCCAATTTAATAAAGTTAATATACTGACAATAAAACACGTTTGCAGATTTCCCTGTTTGTCCAGTATCTGGCTGTGAACGGCTAAAATGCATAACTGCGACAAAATTAGCTGATATTATAGGCCAGTCGATTAATCGGTCAGGTTTTAGTTATTACTATCTTTTGTGTCTTTTTTTTTTTTTTTACAGAATCAGAACTTCAGTCAGTCTTTTTGAGGCCTGCAGAAACCTCAAACAATGGCTCACTGACTTTCGATAAAATGTCTATATTTCTTACCGAAAAAATTATTGTCCAACTTTAAAAGGTGTCTGAAGGTAAATATTGAACTTTTTCAAGATCACCTCAGTCCACCTTGTGGTTTTTGATGCAGTTTTACTGTTTTCATTCCTTTTCTTATGCCTGACAAAAAACGACCCTGACACGAGACGTATCACGTGTTTTGATTAAATATTGTGATCATTTGTTGAGGAAGTATCAGGGTGAAAAACATCCTTACAACTCTTCTGAAAAAGTTTGGCAGTGTGTATTGAACACACTACAGACGGTCTCTCACTTTCAGTAGAAGGTTTTTGTTTTGATATTGACATTAGAGACCTCAAGACGACAAAAACACTCCAAACGTGGTTTCTCTATTGTATTTTGTCAGCATCCTTGATCACACTGTACTTTTATACAACATAATATAATAACAAATCCTGCGATGTCCTACCTCCACTAGAAACCTGCAGAGCTCCTTAAAAGGCTCAACGAGGCTTTCATCTCTGATTTTCCTGATGACGAGCACATTGACAGGTGATTTATTCCAGGTGAGCCGCTGGCTTGCTGGGTCCTGGATGTGCCTGGGACACAGAAACAGAGACACAAGTTAATTATCAAACACACACACATTTTCAATACTGAGAGAAACACAGAAACAGACAAATACATGGTGAACAAGACTCTCAAAACGCACACTGACATTATCTCCTAACTTCAGTTCAGATAAACATGCCTTACCTCATCTCAAAAAACCAAGTGTAGATTAGATTATTCTCACTAAAAGCTGCTATCATTTGTTAACTGTTGTGACACTAGTGAAGGAGTGAGGTCCAAACTCCAAATATCATTAAAAAAAGTTCTTCCTCCTCTTTACCATTTGTCTCCCTCCTCCTTTTCGTAGCAGACAACAGGCATTCTGCATGCGTTTTCAGATCAAGTCCAAGGAAACACTCATGAGTGAAATTAAGCATATGTAGTCTGTTCTGTTACCCATCCCATTTTAAGTCCCATCCAATCACAGCATACACGTTTTTATCTTATCTAACGCGGTTACACAAGCTTTTCTGTGTCAACGGCCTCAATCACAAACAAAGTCAAGTCTGTACACACAAAGTTCGACTATTTCACGCTTACATGACTGAAGTTGGGTTGGGAAGAATACAGGCTTTGGGTCCGAAGTGAGTGGCTGGGTACGGCCCATGTAGAAAGTGTGCTCTCCTGTGAGGATAGGGAACAAAAAGAGGCAGCAAGTCAAGACTCTATCACCTCATGTCAGGGGCAACAGTGGCATGGCAGACCAGCTGGCAACCTGCAAGGCAAACCTCTTAGGAGAGCTTTCTGCTGTGTCGCTGGCCGAGCCAGAGGGCTCCAAATGCTCATGTTGGCTTGGCAACCTCCGTCGCTCGATTTCCCCCAGCAGCTGTTCATGACCGCCCCCCTGTCGCTGCGACTTGGTGCCCTTCCTACGTCTCCTTGGTGACTTGGACGGGTGCTCCCTGTGCTTGGTGGGCCTGGCTGACTCGAACAGCTGACCAGAGGACGCTGAGGACTGTGCCATGCCTCTGTCTGGGACTACCAGGGCGCCTGATGTTGAACTGGACTCTAGAGTCTCCATTCTGCAAGGAAAGCAACACAGAAACAGTTATCAAAAGATATTTAAGATTAAAAAAAAAAAAAAAATCAATGAGACGAATCTGAAAAATAATAAAAAATATCCCTTTGTATGCTAAGATAATTAATTGTTGGAGTTGCAAGAAAAGCAAGAGCCAGCCGCAAGGTGGCTGTATAATTAGAAAGTCACCTGAAAAGGCAAATTGCCAAACGTTATCTGGTTCCATCCTAATAAAGAGCTTTTGCTGCTGCTCTATTACTCCAAATGTTTTACATTGTGGAACTGTTGGTCAGTCAAACCCTTAATATCTACAGTCAATGGTCAAAACAAGCAATTCTGAGTACATCACTTTAAGATACTGAAGAGCCATTTATAGGTAGTATTCACTCTGTTCACATTTTATAGAAAAATGCATCCATAAATAAGTTAGAGAAAATAATAAAGCTAGTGTATCTAGTATTATATCCCTTTTTCCCCACATAAATAAGTAACTATTTTAGTCGTTGGGTTTTCCTCGGTAACTATTTGAAGACATTTTTTGAGTCTGGACCATAAACTGTAAATACACACAGTAGGGTTTGTATGAGTAAATGTTTACCCAATAAATGAATCACTGAAGTCATTAACTACAGTTAAACATAACAATGTGAATGTTATATTGTGTTTTTGAATTCCAATTCATTAAACTACAAAAATGCAATAAAGTCAAAGTTAAATGGTGTCTCTTCCCTGTACTGACCTTGGGCCCCAGTATAAGATAGATAACAGTCTTTATATACAACGCGACACTTTGATAAGCAGCTGACTAATATAAATAATAAAGCCAACCTGATAGCGTTCTTCACACCATGGGGTCAAACCAGCTACCGCTACATTACCAAGCTATTTAGCCACCGAGCTAAACCTGAGTCATCTGAAACAAACGAAGTCTTACTGTGTCAGAGAGAAGAGATTTCACTATTTGTTCACTTGAGACTGGAGCGTTTTCAGACGCTGTGACAAATAAAGACAGACAGCACCGGCGTCAATTTTAAAACAGACATGTTACAAAATATTGAGTGCACGCTGCTGGAGCCGGAGGGGAGGAGCCGGAGTGACGTAGCTGCTCCGTTCAGGAACATCAGCGTGGTTTGAAAAGTGCGCAGGACGGAGGCTCAGCTGCAGGATCAGCGCCTCTGCTGCTTCCTCCAAGGGACCTAAGCTAGATAGAGACCAGACGAGCTGCCCATGTGTAGTTTCACTGTCATCTTATCTATGACTATGTTTATTATGTATTAAAGGTACTTTAATATTATAAGATCAACTTGTTTTGATCCCCTCAGTGGGGGAAATGTGGTTGTTACAATCAAGCTAAAAATAGAGGAATAGAATCAGCAAAAAGTAAAAGAACAAACATATTTACAGTAATTAAGTAAAGAAGAAAAGTATGGTAGTAAAATAATACTAGAAATATACATTATGAGCACTTTTACTTTTGAAAGACAAAGAACAGTTATTTTAAAAAAAACATTGTGTGGTTATGTTATTATATTTTGAATCTGTAAAAATAAGATATCAATGAATAATGTTGAGAAAAATGTATAATATAGCCTATGGCATAGCAGAATGAAGAAGCGGATAATGAAACAGCTCACTTTACACATATATTGGTGCTTAATGTAGATTTGCTGCAGTGATAAAATGGTGCAATGAGGCAAACAGAGAAGATAATCATTTGGCAATGTTTAACCCCACTGTGAGACATTACAGTAACAAGTTCACAGCACTGTTACATTCTAAGTAGTGATAAGCCCAGCTATAGTTCACGTTCACTTTATTATCAATTCAACCATACACAAAGTACACAGTGAGATGACATTTTTCCCTGGACTGTGATGCTACATAACACAATAGAGAATAAAATATTAAGAATTAAGACGTAGACGTATTTTTTTTTTTTTTTTTTTTTACCAGAATCCAACTTGTGACATCACAAGCAGAGCAAATTTGAAACGAAGCATTTTTGTCTATGTTGTAAGACTTATGCAGACCACAAAACAAGGACTGGATGGATTTATTTCACATTTTGTGGGTCGGTAGACAATTACCCAAATATATGTTCAAAAACACTATGAAAGTTGATTTTTCATAATATGTCCCCCTTTAAAGTGGCAGCTAAGATATACAGTATACACAGTATACATTGCAGGGAGTACCTAATGTGAACATAGCCATGAAAAATAGAGAAACAAAGGAAATGAGTCATTTTATTTTCTTTCACATTGTGCATTTCTCCAAACTATATAACATGGATTATGCGCCCAAATTCATTCAATTACAAAAAATACTCATAGGCAGATGAAGGCAGAATACTTTTAATTCAAAGCAGACAAAATGAAGCTGCAGTAGATGTTGATCGCTCTTTATAGTCATGCATGAAAACATTTGTCATTTTGCCAAATAATTGAGGTTCTCATTCTCATTTATTTCAAACAGTGTTATGTCAGAAATCTCTACATTTCTCCAACTGGACTGTATAAAACCTGAAATTATTAAATGAACTCTTAAATCTCGATCAAAGCTGTCTTACTGGATGGCAATACTTTTAACCACGCCTTCTGAGAAAAGCTTTTTCATAATATGGATGCACAAAAAAAGCTGCTGAACCGGAGCTTCAGTACAGCATGGCAGGTATGCAAATCTCTGAGGTGTACTAACAAGTCAAGTCAAAACTTGTGTGTGTTATTTGAACTATAATTAACTCTTTGATCTACATCAGTCCTTACATGGTTATTTCACCTAAAGTGTGAAATAATACATCGCTATAGATACTTTTCCATGTTAAGCTGATTTAAATTTAGCTGTTCAGTGTTGTGTAGTTCCCCATTATCTGCAGCGGAAATGGCAGTTCAAAAAAGCAGAAGTTAAAGTTTGACACTTTTTTTAATGGCTTTTTAGCTTTTATTGGAGAGATAGGACAGTGGATAGAGTTGTAAATCAGGGAGAGAGAGAGAGTGGGGAATGACATGCAGGAAAGGAGCCACAGGTTGGATTTGAACCTGGGTCGTCCGATTGGAGGACTACAGCCTCCATACATGGGACACGCGCACCAACCACTGCGCCATCAGCGCCCCTTAAGGTTTGAAAGTTTGATCAATTTTAAGTGAGTAGCATTTGGGGAAGCTTAACATCACATTATTGCTGAAGAAGCAGTTCATCTTTTGGTTTAGTTATTCCAGCTGTCTGAACTGAAAGGATTTATTGAAAGACGACTTTCCAAAATTTTATTTGATGGTCCTTAACATATCATTTCTTAATAATTACTCTTTGAGTGATTTTTTATTTTTTGTCATTTTTGTTTTTGCAGAGGGGAGATGTTTGGGGATTTGAGTCTATTTAAGCTCTATTCCAATTGTTGAAAGTGAGCAGGTCTGGGGAGGGGGGTTGGTGTATAAGGCTCCTCTTTACATTGCAGTTCACTAAAAGTTGTCACTCACTGAAGTTGTATCAACCCACAGCTAATGTGTCCTGAAGGGGTTTTGAGTGATCAACTCTGAATACTTAATGACTAAGAATGTCTTCTTCTTTTTTACCAATTAATCAGATGACTGCTTGTTTGGGAGGAGGGTTACTCTAATGAAACAAAAATTCCTCTCAGCTCTACAGATTGTCTATCAGCTCATTGTTTCGGTTTTAAAGCTCACAACATCACAGTTTTGGTTAACTTCAATAAAGTTTGGTTTGACTGGACACAAAGAGAAACCAGATATTTCCATCAGGAGCTGATGAGAGAATTTTAGGAGAGTATTAATCTATCAGATGGTTACCTATATTATCTTAAAATTATTAAATGTTTTGCTTCACAGGCTGAATACGTAAGTAAAAATAATAAACAACATCAGCAATAACACTTTCACCATATCCAGTTAAATGGTGATGATTTGTCTCTGTTGTGTTTAGTCTTTTCTGTTACCAAACATGAAGTTATTCCCGGTTTGATATGTGATTGTGAAATCATCATTGTATGCAACAGAGAAACCCATGAAACAAATCAAACATTTTAAAACCTTAATTTCCCTTCTCCAACAGATGAGTCTTCATAATTGCCCACATTGACTGGTGCTCACTCGGTCAGAAGCTCTCTCAGATTGAACACCATGATGATCCCCATCCCCTCCATCCTGATCAGCCTGGGAGGAAAATGCCTGCTTAACTGGACGCTGGTGTTTATCCAGAGGAACTACATTTGCCAAAGCTTCCTGGGAGTTTTCAGTGTTTCCCTTTCTGTCATCGACACAGCCCTGACCCTCTCTGTCACCACGTTCCATCTCCACACCGACGGATATGTCATCCTCCTGGGCTTGAAGCTGACCACGTTTCATGTGTGTTTGCTGGTTCAAATTTTCGGACAAATCTACAATGCTCTGCAGTTGCCTGTTGTAGTCTTAGCTGGATTGGACCATTTCTGTACTCTCACTCAGTGCTTGCAATTCACCATTGCCGGGGTCAGAATGTTTTTCATCTTATCTGTGACCGGCTTCCTGTGGTACCTAACTGCTCTTTACGTCTTTCTGCTGTCTGACTTCAATCCTGTCCTAGAGGAAGTGTCTTACAACCAGATTCATCAGTGCTGGATCTTGAGAACTTCTTATACCCTGCAGGTCGCCCTGTTGCTCCTCCTATCTCTTGGCTATGCAGCACTGCATGCTGGGTGCAGCACACAGTTATGGAAAGACCAAAATACAGTCCAAAGTAGAACACTCTCCAGGAAAAATGTTGTTTACCAAACCTTACATGTTTTCCTGAACACTTGGGCCTTGTTTCTGTTTTTTCTTGCCGCGTTCCTCTTGCTACCTGTGGGAATACCTGCATACCTGGCCATGAACGTTATCTGGTTGAGCTTTCTCAACAGCACCTTGATAGCAGTCCTTTTATGTGCAGTCTGTCCAGCCCCGCAGCTTGCACAGGGCTTGGCAGCAGTTCCCCCCGACAGCTTCTGTGAGTGGAGATACAAATTTAGCTTGGCTGAGGACGACAGAACAATACTGCACTGTGAAAATACACACAGGGCATATTCTGTATAGAAATAGTGGACATAGATGCTGAAAACTGCAGTAGACTTTTTATTATTGTCACTCAATCTTAACAAATGGCCCATGGATCTATTAGTTGGTAACAATATGTCCTCATTTACCACCAGATGGATTGAAACAATATTTGTTAGAAATTTAAGGTAGCGAAATGACAAGTATCAGAGACATTTTAAATCAATAGACCTGTTGTGATTTGTATCCACCATGAGGTCTGTACTTGTAATTTTGAGAGAAATGTATTTAACTAAAAAAATGAGGAACGGTGCCATTGTTATGATTTATGATTCACTTTTAGCATCTTTTAATAAATTGGTATCAAGCAGATTCATATTTGACTTATATTCGTGACATTCAAGATCAGAATTGTATTGTATGGTCCCTATTAACATTATTCTATACAGTACAGGCTATATATATATATATATACACTGTATATATGGTTTAATTATGAATAGAAAGGCAATACTTGATTCATTTAAATTCTTTAAAATTGTTCAATTTCGATTTGTCCATAAATGAGTAAATATATATATTTTTAAGTTTTCCAGTCATCTTCTGTTGCGTATTTCCCTGTAATCAAAATCTGGGATGCTGACAGGTTAAATTGTTGACATGAACATTTAGGTTTTCTCCTGTTTGTTCACCCTTAATATTTGCACTCTATGATTTGCATACGATCTGTTACATAACTACATATTTATTATCATGTTCATCTCAGCATTTTGCACTACTCACCACTGCACTATGGTCTTATTTATCCTTGTATATATTCGTGTTTTGCTTACATTGTGTTTAATGTTTAACTTTGTACATTCAGAGCACAGTTACTGAAGACAAATTCCCTGTGTGTGTAAGCATACACAGCCAATAAAGCTGATTCTGATTCTGATACATTCTGGTTTAACAGTTTGTTATCGATTTCAATGAAAAACAATGAATGTGTTAATGTTTGGTAGCTCAGGACAGGACAGCAGCCTACAGAGCTGAGGTGTGGCATTAAC